GAGGAAGAGGAGGAGGAGGAAGAGAAGGAGGAGGAGGAAGAGGGGGAGGAGGAGGAAGAGGAGGAGAAGAGGAGGAGGAAGAGGAAGAGGAGGAGGAGGAGGAAGAGGAGAAGGAAGAGGAGAAAGAGGAAGAGAAGACTGGACAACCACTTGTCTGAAATGGTATAGGGTCTCTTGCTTGAGCAGGGGTTGGACTAGAAGACCTCCAAGGTCCCTTCCAGCTCGATGCTGATTGGATTTGGCCCTGAGGCAATCCGGAATGTATTGTGTGGTCCCGCATTTAGAGAGTGGAAAGGCAGAGGGGTGTGTCCAAAATCAAGGACTTTTGTTTACCTCCTAGTAAGTCGCAGGGAAGCCCCTCCCAGAGTTTGACGGTAATTGGAGCTCTGCTTTTTATTTCAATTCAGAGGTTCTTTGAAAAAGCGACCTGGCTATGCAACCCAGCTTATCACCCTTTGGGTCTTATTTACAGGTACCCAGGACAGGCGACATAAAATTCATAGGGCTGTGTAGGTTTGTACTGTCCAACGTTAACGCGCCTGTGCTCCACACACGGATAGTCAGACATGCAGATACAGCCACCTCGTGAAGAACCAGGTATGGCAATTCTGAGGAAAGAGATTACCTGCCCAGGTGATTTAATCTAGTTAAGAATGTTATGGGCTCCGTCTTTTTTCCCTTTGGCAAATGAAAGTCCTCTTGGGGCCATTTTTGGCGATGTTTTGGCATCCCCTGATAAAAGAGCATGGGGGAGGTCAGGCAAAAGACAGTGCTTCCTTCCTTTCATTCTTCTTCCTTCCTTTTCTCTTCTTTCTTCTCCCTCCCTCCCTTCCTTCTTTCCTTCTTTCATTCCTCCTTCCTGATGGCCTTCCCTCCTTCCCTCCCGCCTTCCTTCATTCTCCCTTCCTTCTTTCTGTCCTCTTTCCTTTCATCCTTCCTTCCTTCTTTTATTCCTCCTTCCTGCTTTCTGTCCTCCTTCCTTCTCTTCCTTCCTTCCTTCCTTCCTTCCTTCCTTCCTTCCTTCCATCCATCCATCATTCATTCATTCATTCAATCATTCCTCCTTCCTGACGGCCTTCTTTCCTTCCCTCCCTCCCTTCCTTCTTTCTGTCCTCCATCCCTCTCTCCCTTCATCCTTCCTTCCTTCCTTTTTTCATTCCTCCTTCCTGATGGCCTTCCTTCCTTCCCTCCCACCTTCCTTCATTCTCCCTTCCTTATTTCTGTCCTTTCCCTTCATCCTTCCTTCCTTCTTTTATTCCTCCTTCCTGATTTCTGTCCTCCTTCCTTCTCTCCCTTCCTTCCTTCATTCATTCAATCATTCCTCCTTCCTGATGGCCTTCTTCCCTTCCCTTCCTTCTTTCTGTCCTCCCTCCCTCTCTCCCCTCATCCTTCCTTCCTTCCTTTTTTCATTCCTCCTTCCTGATGGCCTTCCTTCCTTCCCTCCCACCTTCCTTCATTCCCCCTTCCTTCTTTCTGTCCTCTTTCCCTTCATCCTTCCTTCCTTCTTTTATTCCTCCTTCCTATTTTCTGTCCTCCTTCCTTCTCTCCTTCCTTCCTTCCTTCCTTCCTTCCTTCCTTCCTTCCTTCCTTCCTTCCATCATTCATTCATTCATTCATTCATTCATTCTTCCTGATGGCCTTTTTCTTCCCTCCCTCCCTTCCTGCTCCCTCCCTCCCTCCCTCCCTCCCTCCCTCCCTTCTCCCATTCTTCTTTCTGTCCTCCGTCCCTCTCTCCCTTCATCCTTCCTTCCTTCTTTTATTCCTCCTTCCTGCTTTCTGTCCTCCTTCCTTCTCTTCCTTCCTTCCTTCCTTCCTTCCTTCCTTCCTTCCTTCCTTCCCTCCTTCCTTCCTTCCTTCCTTCCTTCCTTCCTTCCTTCCTTCCTTCCTTCCTTCCTTCCTTCCTTCCTTCCTTCCTTCCTTCCTTCCTTCCTTCCTTCCTTCCCCCTTGCTTCATTCTGTCCTCCCTCCCTCCCTTCATCCTTCCTTCCTTCTGTCCTCCCTCCCTCCCTCTCTATTCTCTTGCATAGGAGTTGGGCAAGTAGGAAGACTTTGCCCCATACTATTGACTATGGAGAGCCGTTTCCCCTTTCCCTCCCTACCCCAAACCTCAGCAAATCAGAGCTAGCCATGAACAAGAAAATTAAATGTGCATAAAAGGGAAGGTTTTCATCTCACCCACTCCTAAACAACACTTGCCTATTTCCTGCAGCGGCCTCTTTCCCAACCAAACCCAAATCTCATGAAAATTCAGCATGTTTCTACAGCTGACCTCCTGCCTGGTTTCACCCAAAGATGCTGTTTTTAGTCTAACCCATTGGCAATTCCTTTCCAACAGAGGAAGCAGAATTCCCTCCGCAAGCCACAACCTCCTCCTCCTCCTCAATTCAGTTAGCTGTCATTTTAAATAAGGTACGCTGTGCAGACAGCTGCTTCCTGGGAGGCATCAGATGAATTAGAGGAGGAAAGAAAGTCATAAATAAGAAAGATCTCCAACACAAGCCTCCCTCCATCTGCATCAGGGAAGCGTTTTGCTTCAAAAGGAAACGTTTATCCAAACCCTTTGCACGAAGAGTGAAGGATTTTCCTTGGTTATTGAAACAGAAGATGGTTTGTGTATTTCCCTCGGTGGTCTTTCATAGCAAAAACATGAATTTGCAATGATTTGAGAGCAAAGAGGTCCTGTTTATTTAGTTCATTCTAGAAAGTCCAGCAAATAAACATCCTAATTGTGGCACTGAAATCAGTCATGTCAGAGTTTCCTTTGCAAAATTGTTATGCAATTTTACTTTAGCATCTTCATTTCTGATTTCTTCCCAATGTTTTGTTTTTTATTTTATTTTATTATTTGTAGGGATGCAGTGGCTCAGTGGCCAAGACACTGAGCTTGTCGATCACAAAGGTCGGCAGGTCTGTGGTTCGAATTCCTAGCACCGTGTCACGAAGTGAGCTCCCATTACTTGTCCCAGCTTCTGCCAACTTAGCAGTTCGAAAGCACGTCAAAAATGCAGGTAGAAAAATGAAGACCCCTTTGGTGGGAAGGGAACAGCGATCCATGCGCCTTCGAGGGCGTTTAGTCATGCCAGCCACATGACCACGGAGACGTCTTCGGACAGCGTTGGCTCTTCGGCTTTGTAACAGAAATGAGCAGCGCCCCCTAGAGCTGGAAACCATGAGCACGTATGTGTGAGCAGAACCATTACTTTTTAGCTTATTATTTTATTTTATTTTATATTATTTTATTTATTTATTTTATTATTTTTAATTTTATTTTATTTTTCTCTGTGTTAATGATTCAGCTGTGGAAGCGGTTAGTAGTATCAGTTTTTTGGGTGCGCAGCTGGTGAGTAGGTTATCTTGGTGACTCAATGGTGGGACATTGGTGAGGCAGGCACAGCAGCGCCTGCATTTTCTGTGTCATATAAGAAGAGCACATCTTCCTTTCCCTGTCCTCACCACTTTCTCTAGTGAGTTGAAAGCATCCTGTCGTTATTGCCTTACTGTGGTTTGAAAATATTACTGTTTCAGATAGGAAGGCTGTGCAGAGAGTGGAGAGGACAGCAGAAAAGATTATTGGAAGTTCACTTCCTTCTATCCAGGGCATGGCATATGAAAAGACAGAGGAAGCTGTTTAGATGGAGGAACAGGAAAGAAGTAATAACTGGAGAAAATGTGGTGGTTTCTAGACAAGTTACTTGAGTAGCACATCTATCTGGACCAAATTGTTGCTACAAGTGAGATTATCTTGTTTATTGAAATGTTTAGATTTATTTGAATACTTATGAAGATTCCATTGGGAGCAGGAAGGGGATAGACAGAAGTAAATAATATCATAATGATGATAAATGGGTTGTAGATAAGAAGTTACCTCAGGAATTTTAATTGGGAGGGTATATTTGTAGCTGCAATGTACAGATGGTTTGAGTTGCAGTTCATTAGGTATCGTATTTAATCCAAGCACAAGACAAGTGTATTGACACAGCTGTCAATAGATTTTTAACAACCATCACCTGCTTAAAGATCTGAAACCATAAGCAATAGCAAAAATCTTATTTCTCAAGAGAACGAGAAAGAGAAGTAATTTGGATGCTTCAAGATCTTAGAACAGAATAGAATTCTTTATTGGACAAATGTGTGTTGGACACACAAGGAATTTATCTCCGATGCAGAAGCTCTCCATGTACATGCAAAACAGAAAAGTAATAACAATCATAATATCAAAGTAGTAATAATCATATTACTGATACCAGCAAGAGAAGGTAGTGAAACAGATGAGAAGGATAAAAGTAATACAGCCATACTACATGGGTAAATAGACATAAAACAACACTGTGGGGATTAGTTGTTCAGTAGAGTGATGGCATGGGGGAAAAACTGTCCATGAGTCTGCCTATAGTGGCATTCCAAGAGAAGGAGATGAAACAGTTTATGTTTCAAGGATATGAGGGGTCTGTAGCAGTGGTAGGATTCAATTGTTTTTACTACTGGTTCTGTGGGCGTGCCATGGTGGGCATGACATGGCTTGGTGGGCATGGCAGGGGAAGGATACTGTAAAATCTCCATTCCCACCCCATTCCCACCCCATTCCTGGGGGAAGGTTACTGTAAAATCCCCATTTCCTCCCCACCACACTAACCTGCTTTCCAGTTCTGTTCTGTGCAGGGCAACCAAAGGAGAACCAGCCAATCATCTGGGACTCAGAAGGCAGAGAATAGTTGGGTGTGGGGCCAACCAGAGGTGGTATTTGCAAGTTCTCTGAACTACTCAAAATTTCCACTACTGGTTCTCCAGAACTGGTCAGAACCTGCTGAATACCACCTCTGGTCTGTAGAGTTCTTCTCAGCCCTCTTTCTGACTCGTGCAGTATACAAGTCCTCAATAGAAGGCAGGCTGGTTGCGACTGTTTTTTCTGCAGTCCTATATGTTGAAGTCTCTACCTGTCCTGTTTGGTAGCTCTGCCAAATCAGACAGTTATAGAAGTACAAATGCCAGACTCAATCATTTATTTGTAGAACTGTGTCAACAGCTCCTTGGGCAGCCTTGAACTTTCTGAATTGACTCAGGAAGAACATTCTTTGTTAGTCTTGAGAAAAGAAGAACCAGGGGAGACATGATAGCAGTTTTCCAGTATTTGAGAGGCTTCCACAAAGAAGAAGGGGGTCAACCTCAAAGCACCTGAAGGCAGGACAAGAAACAATGGATGGAAACCAATCAAGGAGAGAAGCAACCTGGAATTAAGGAGAATCTTCATAAAGAGTGAGAACAAATAACCAGTGGAACAGCCAGATGGAACCTTATAAGGTCTATGACAATTCACCATGGCCAACTTGCCATGGCCAACTCACCGCAGCTAACTCACAGCCAACTTGCCAGGATAACTCGCTGCAGGACAAGAGTTGCACTAATATCAAAGAAATGGTGGGATTGAATTGTTACAGAAAGGATGCAAAAGGAGGGACAGAAGGAAATGTGAA